AGGGGGTGCAGTAGCCTCGCTGCCTCTGTGGGGGCCGCCCTGAGGACAGCGTTCGTGAGCCCGTCGGGGCCTCCTTGCGTCCCAGCCTTGGCCGCGGCGAACTGGGCCTGGCAGACGGCCAGGGGCATCGCCATGGAGAGATCCAGCATGCCGTCGAAGGGCCTGATCTTGCTGTCGTGATTGTACTTGTTGGCAAGATCATCCGCTGTCACGATCTTGCCCGCCTGTATCTTCGCGAAATGGTTTAGCTCCTGGTCCGCCATGTCCTGGGAGTTGTGGATCACCTCTCCATCCTTGTCGAGCCGCATAGGCTTTCCTGTTGGGAATTTCGCCTTCCTCCCTCCATACCTTAGTAGGTCTCGGTAAGCCTTCCACTGGACCGCAGCGTCGTTCGCAGCGGAGGCGGAGGACGCTGTCGAGGCAAGCCGACTGAGGAATGCGCTGCGGTCCTTCTCGACGGCCGCGGCAACGATGGGCCCAGACCTGGTGGGGAAGGAAAGGATGGCCATGGCGTAGACCATGGGCGAGATTGTCCAGTTCAGGAGGAGGTGCGCGTAGTGGTGGATATCGTGGATGGTGCCATCGTCATCGCCACGCTCTCTGCTCCACAGGGAGAGTGAGTCCCCTACTTCGCCTGCGCGAAGAGAATGGGCGTGGGCTACTAGTCGTCCAGGTCGGTCGTCATGGGCTTCTCCTCTGAGCACTGCGCGGTGGACTCGGAGTGCGAGGCGCCTGGCTCGGATCAGGCCCATGGTAGTCTTGGTGACGTAGGGCTTCCTCGTTGCCTTGGCGGCTTTGCCGAAGGCCTGGATGGCCGCGTCGTTGACGACCCTGGTGACCTCCTCGCAGTGGGTGTTGACGTCCACCTCCCAGGGGATGATCGGGGCCTGCTTGAGAATCTCCTTGAAGCTGGCCTTGGCGACGTCATTGTTCAAGTTGGTCAGGTCGGGCCTCGGTCCTGAGACCTTGGTGGTCTTGCAGACGGCCCACTTGAGGGTGGCTAGTACTGGTATGTGGTCTTGTGCAGCTGTGCCTCGGTCCAGACCTGGCTCCGTGCTGCAGCTCGCGACGTACGGGGCGATCGAGGAGCTCAGCAGGATGTAGTCTATCCTGTGGTGCTGCCCCTTCGATCCGACGTGCGTATATGAGCTGTTGCCTGGATCCCTCGTGGTGTTGATGACCTCCATGTTGGTGTCGGCAGCGAAGCTGATGATGTGCTTGCCATTGCCGTTGGTCGCCTCTGGGTACCCACTGGTGCCGACTCCTGGGGACTCGTAGTCGCCAAGACGCCCGTTCAGGTCCCCCATGAAGATGTCCACTCGGTACTTGTCAGACAATCGCTGAGCAGACTCCCAGAATTCTCTCTTCTCCGCCGCGTGGGAGTCTTCGTGGGGTGCGTATGCTGATGCGATAACCATGTCTGTGCCTGCAACACGGGTCTTGATGATCAGGAGCCTGTCGTGCTGGTGGAGGACGAGGGTGTCTTTGGCACTTAGGTACTTCGCTGCCCCACTCGCGCTGATTGGTTGGGAGACGTTGAGCCAGATGTCGCATCCTCTGTTCTGCTGCGTGTGGCCTGATGAGTAGCAAACGTATTCACCTACATTGCGGACGTCTCCTTCGCTCTGCGTCTCCTGCAGGGCGACGACGTGCAGGCCCATGTCAGCAAACTGTGCTGCTAGGTGCGTGACCTTGGAGAGGCTCTGCTTGCTTTTGCCGGCCGCCTTGCCTTTGAACGGCGGCCTTGAGTGATCTGCAGTTGTAGGTGCACAAATTCACGTTGAGGTCGGCCTTGATGGTGGTGGTGCTGATGGGCCTCTGGATCGCTCCTGGGGCTGCCTGCGGCTGGGTGGCCTCGATGATGAAGTCTTTGTTCCGCAAGGGCGGGTATGCGGCCTTGACCGCATCTGGCTCTGATCGCAGCCATTCCCAGGAAAGGAACTTGTTGTGAGCGATCGCCTGCACTGCTGCAATGTTCGGGTCCATCAGGTCGCTGGCCGAAACTTGATCTGCTATCCCATCTGCGAGCTCGTTCCAAGGGTGCCCGATGTGCGAGTTAATATGGTGCCACTGGGTAGGTCGGGCTTGTTGGAGGAGGCCTGCCAGCGTGCGAATGGCGGCACCCAACCTCGGATGTACGTGGCATTGGGCTTCGCCTTTGGCCAGGTTGATAACGTTGAGGGCGTCGGGCGTGATCTCGATGGGCGCGTCGGTGTCTTGACCAAGGGCCCACATCAGTGCCCAAAGTACTGCCGTGAGCTCAGCTGTGTATGCCGTCACCTTCTCGTTGTTTGCCATGTCGTCTAGGGTCTCGGTGACCTTGCCAGCAATGAAGCCCCGAAAGCCGAACGGGCCTCGTAAGTTGCGCCCGTCGTCGTACTCGTCGACAATGACAACTGCCCAGGCGGCTGTATGTGGGATGCCGTTGTAGCTGCCGTCCGTGTAGATGTGTGTCCGCCTGGTCGGCAGCTCGCGTGATGGGCACATCTCCAGCGCCACCCTTGCCATGCTGTGCAGGGTCGTAGTGTCGACGTCGTCGCAGACGTTGACGCGGCCTCGGCCGCGAAGGGTCTCGGCTACTGGGTCTTGGCTGAGAACTGGCAGCACTGTCGCTTGGCCTCTTTCTCGTGCTGTCGTGGTGGGGAACTGCCGTCGCCTTCGGCCACGCCTGGCCCTCTCTGCATTGACGTACTCGGGGGAGTACTCGATGTCGTCGCCTGGCGCCAGCCCCATGCCCTGTAGAATGGGACCTTGTGTAGTGGTGATGTGGGCTGGAGGTGGCTGTGGTGTCGGAGAACGTGTGGGTGGGGCTGGTGATATGGCCCCAGCCTGAGGCGCACTCCGCTTCACGGGTGGTAGTGATGGTATTTGGCTCCCCTCATCGTAGTTCAAGTTGTCCGATCCAGCCCGCGCGGCCTGACTGAACAGGGGCTCGCGTGATTGGGCGTGGAGCATGCTGTCACGTAGACGATGAGGTTCGCCATCCAGGGCGTCTGGGTGGTTGGTAGCACCCGTGCCGTGGTGGGGGCGCGCTGATGCCGAGGGGAGCGTTGGCTTCCACCTGCTGGACCGTGGTGAGCTGCTTGGGTCCGTCGGGACTGGGGCCACTGGTGCTGCTGGTTGAGCTGCTGAGTCCGACGGGTCTGGATCCACCGCCAGGGCATGGTACTTGTTGTGGCTGCTGCTGTTGTCCCGACGACTGTGGCTCTCCGCAGCGCGCCGTGCGCGGCGTGCACTCCGCTGGGCTGATCGGAAGGCTGCGACTGCGCACGCTTGCCTCCAGTTCTCGTAGCGCTGCTCCATACCATCCTCTGCCTCGCTGCCAGCCGAGTTTTGACCGTCAAGAAAGGTCCTTTCCACGTTCTCGATCTCGTGGGCTCGGATGGCGGAGGGGGACACACTGAGTGCAAGGGCAGCCGGTAACGCA